ATGCACAAATTCCAAAGCGATGCGCAATGAATTGTTCCAACACGAAATGGTGCCGTAATTGAACAAATGATCCGGGCGCTGGTAATAGCGAGCCAGACGTCGTGCATGGATTGGTCTGCGCGACAAGCGACGATGCTGTGAGCATAACTCGTAGCGGGGGTGATTAGCGTTCTTCATGGTGCAGGGGCCGTAGTACTTCGAAGTCAGGGGCGGCCACTTCACAGTAATGCGCAAGGCACTCCCACGGCATATCAGCACATTTTCAACTACTTGGAGTGTCTCGGCAGGTCCAGGTCTTGGTGATTTGGCGCAGTGGTCGTGTCATTTCGTACGCAGACTAGGAGACGCCAGCAGTTCATTTTGGCGGTGTGCCAAAGTAGATGTTGCTAGAAGTGGGATAGAATACACTGAACTGAGTCGAGGCGGTTGGCCATGCGATAGCTCGAAAGGGGAATATCCTTCGGCAAGGCGTCGTCGTCGATATCCGTACAAGATTTTTTGGCAAACTTTTAGACTCATTCTCGCGCATTCCTGTGCGCCATCTTGGCGACGGACTTCTTAATTGTCCTGACCATTCGTTCTTCCTTCCCATTTAACTGCGGCGTGTTTTAAGCCCAGGCTTCCATGAAATGACGTGACGTTTGGAAAAATCCTCATCAGCTGTGAATAGGAACGACGTAGCATTGTCCGAAATCATTTTTCTCAGGGGTCCGAAAGAAATTACGACTCATTGTTCAAGAAAGCCGGTGCGACGACATTGGTACAGTTTGGGTAAGCCATAGCGATTTTCTGTCCTGTAAGATGTTCCACCGCCACCAAAAGGTAACGATGGCCAGAACAGGTTGTTGGAAATGGCGCGGCAAGGTCAACTGAGAAGATGTCAAAAATGTGGTCAAGGGCAACTTCAAAGATGTTCGATAGGTCGGGAGCAGCGTAAACATCTGACATTCATGACAGCTGCGGACATTATCGTGAATGTCCCTATACATTTTGGGACACTCGTAACGATCAGACACGAACTACCTAGTTGTATTGAGATCCCAATGTCCAATGTTGTCATGAAATGATTTCAGAATCACGACCCGTTGATGCTACGGAGGGGTTACACGGATTTCATGCCCTATGCGCTTTAAAGGCTGACCACTTACAAAAAGAAAGGAATTCAACGCCCTCTTAACCCGTCGGTCATAACTTCCATCATCTGATGAGAACTCGAAACGAGTGAGATATTTTTGCACATCTAGGAGGAGAAGTTCGAGATCCCCTTTGTCCCAAACATGCAGCACCAAACTACAATTCATCTCCTGCTTCTCCAGTCCCGGGACTGGACTGGAAACGTAGTCGCCTGTACGATTGTATTCGCCAGGGCGATGGAATATGCAAAGGTCGTACTTAGCCTGAAGGTCTAGCCATCGGGCACGATGACCATGAACGTCCTTCTTCTGAAACGCATGGAGAAGAGCCTAGCGATAGGTAAAAATGGTGAAGATCTCAGACAAAAGGTGGATTCGGAACTTCTTCAACGCAATGATGGCTGCTAGTGCTTCGTTCTCGCAAGCGTAGTTGCGTTCTGTCTATTTCAGGGTTCTAATAGCCTACCGAACAGGGTAGATAGTAAAGTAATCTTTCTTCTGTGATAGTACTGCCCTGACGGCGTGGGAAGCATCATCAGTGTACATGATGAAGGGTACCTGGAAGCCGGGGTAAGCGATCACTGGTGGCGAACAGAGCTTTTGCCTTAAGGCATTAGTAGAATCCAGTCTTTGGCCGTTCTAGTAACACTGTATTTGTGCGGACGTTGTGGAGTGTAGGACAATGTCATCAGCAGCGAATATGCCATAGTAGATGTCGAAAACTGGGCCAATGAGTAATGCAATCAGTTCTGCCGCATTGTCGTGGTCGTTCTTCTTTTCCATCAAAACGTTGCCGAAATAGAAAAAGCATTTATTGACGGCGAAGGAATTGGCAGAGGCCCCAGAGAACGAGAGAGAGCGGCCCACAGCAGGCGGGGTCCCTGTTAAGCGATTTTTATGGTCCCGGGATGGGCGGTCTAGATTTTTACGAGATGTGTGTGTGTGTGTCTGTTAGCTCGCGATATTTTTGAGAGCCTAGATAGATCGGTACTGATCCTAATTGTATTGTGATATCTTCAAGGACTTCCTCGCTGGAAACCTTTCCGGTACGATAGAGTATGGCCAGCACGGACGTCCGCATTGTTTCTCTCTTTGATAGTCTCTCAGCCACGTCAGCAGTGGTAGGACTGTTATTAGATATAACACTACCAGAGGTAACTCCGACGAGGTAGACGGAGAGGGACAGTAAACCAACAAGTGGAGAGGGGACTTTCTCGCAAGCAGCGGGGAGGCACCCATCAAGATCAAGAGAGAAATCTAAAAATTCCGAACATTTCATATTTCCATGCAAAATTTGTATTTAACTTGAGGGTCGTGCCCTCCATAGGTTGCTGGTGTCCCCTAAAGGATGTTTCTATGTGCCTCAGTCGCCACAACTAACGCTCGTGTCGGCGGAATTTTGATGTAGTCAATAAAGGTTTTGTACAAAGATATTCTTCGAAACGGGCGGAAAGCGCATTTCTCCACCCGCCATAGTACTAGCTACCAAAGACTGCAGTTCATCATTTGTATAAAATCGAACATCCTTCACAGTCTAACTTGTAATCTTGAACATGTGAATTTTGTAAGCCCACAGACATTAATTCCTCAACGATGTCACTCGTAAATGAACCAAAAAATGGCTTGTAGTGATCTGTGTTTTGTTACTGGGTGGTGTCATAGGATTCATTTATATGCCCCCTCCAAACCGTACAGCTTGTCACAGTGACACGTCTGTACAATAACCCTTGCGCTCCAGTTATGTTAGTATAGATGTACTGCACAAGCAGTGTACTGTATTGGTTAGATCGGATTACCATTTTTTACAATCATACCGTGACGCCATCTCCGAAATTCGTTCCTCCTCCCGTTTAGCATATGCTGCTCGGTATATTCTGAGTTTTTGATCATGCTGTCATCTGCCTGTCAGGAAGCATTGCGCCGCCATCGCAAAAGCAATCAAGCATAATGACCCTAGCTGTGAACATGCTTCTTGTCGGTGCCCATGTCGGCGTAGATCTATCATCGCACGTGTGGGATAGATTAAGATATGTACTGTAAGCTACGCTCTACGATAGATGGTTTGAATTTCTCTACGTCGTCAACACAAGGTCTTACTGCCCAAAAATCCTGTGCCACACCGTCTTCTCCGCAAAAGCTAAAACGGTCTCCAATTTCTCCCATCCTCCTCCTAGGTCACTATCCCGTAGGAGCACTCGTCTATATCCTTGAAAACATCTCGTCAAGCCGGGCTTCTTCTCCCGAGAGTTTTACCGCGTCCCTTCATATTCCTGGCCAACCCTATCCCTTTCGCAACACAAACAGATACTGCCGGCTATGGATCCCATATTTCATAGAAAACATCCTTGTGCCGGATTGCATATTTCACTACTTCGTCAACTGCCGTGAGCCGTCAACGAACATGCAAATTTGATGTTTTTCGCAAAACTTGCCGGACAAGTAAAACAAGCCTGTACTGAGAAATCTCGGGACATGCAATCAAGAGGCAATCCCCAGGCATGTACCCTTTTTGAAAAGATCACAAAAACTTAATTCATGCAAAAGCATAGTTCTTCAACATGTACTCCAGCTAAAACGTTCTTGCAAGCTACTTTCCAAAAAATGGACACCGACCGTTTCATTCAAACCCCATCTTGCTGCTACTATGACTACTTCCAATGCCTCGTCAATCTTTGCAGTTACCGCAAAACATCCTGCCGGGCGGCCTTTTCTTCTGCTGTCACACAGATGCAGTTTCGTTATCGGCCACGGTAAGTTTGCAGTTCTCACCTGCCCCGCAGTACGAACAAGAATGTAATGAACAGAGCTATTCCATGCTGAGATCCACGTCGGAAAACTGTGAAGGCATGAATGTAAGATGCTTTCGTCTTTGCTGGCGATGATGGCTGCGAGGCGTCGGTTTTTTATACTGCTCATCATGAAATTCAAGATCTCTCCGAGGAGAAACTCATTCTTCAAGTTGTACACACCACAATAAAACCTGTTCAGTCATAGAACATAGCTTCACTGCATGCCATCAAAACCCTGATCTTGGTGTTCTCAAGAAAATCTACGAAGCAAGATTGGGAACAGCTGTTGGGCCTGCGTTTTCCCCTCAACAATAGCGAAATCACCAACCCTCGCATCTATATAAACCGCTTGGGTCAGCTCATCCTTTTTGAGATCCCATCACCCACAGCCCATCACCAACAGGAAGAACTTGCACACCACTCATCTAAACAATCATGAAGTTCATCCTTTTCTTGGCCATTGTCGGCCTCGCCCTCACCTCTGTCTTCGCTGAGGACATTCCCACTGAAGCCCGCAGCCGCAGCTATCGTCCCTGCCCATGCAAATGCCTCGTTGGGCGTGGTGCCAGACGTGCCATCCGTGCTTGCCGCAGCTACCGGTTCCGGTTCCACTGCGAGGTGAGCACCTGCTACTACCACGGTAAACCTGGTAAGCAGTGCTGCGACAAGGATGAGCCGAAACCGTCCGCGTCTCCATCCAGCACCCCGTCGGCGACTCCGTCCCCGTCCCCGTCAAAGAGCCCCGAACCACCCAAGTGTCCGTGCACTTGCGGCTCCAAGAGGGACGCTAGGCGTGAGTGCCGCTACAAGCCGTACTGTCAGATCATGAAGTGCCCGCCGCCCGAGGTCCACCACCCGGTCCCCCACCACTACAACAAGCCGAAGCCTGAGTTCAAGTGCTGCTACTAACCGCATGTCGCCCCTGTCCACTAAGTGTTGTAGTGGAACTGTTCGATCTGACTCAGAACTGCCAGGAGCGGGCAGTTAGGTCGTTTGGATGATCTGTATCAGTTAGATGCGACCTTTTCCCCATCTTTCAATAAAGAGCCAGTCCATTTGAATCGTAAGCTTCGATCGTATGTCTACACGCCTTACTGACTCCAACAGTGCTGCGGGTGTAGTTCGTGAGCTGGGGGAGGGTCTCTTTTCCGACTGTAAGATGGACGTACTTCCGCTGCGTAGCGCCCAACTCGCAACAATGTTCTGGAACATATTGCTTCCGGTTGCACTTGGCCCAAGTTCTTCGAAAACTATAGTGTTCATTAGAGACACGAATGCATCGCAGCAAGTATGCTCTATGGTACAGTACAAATTTAAAAGCAAGGTGCAGGATACGCTCAGGAAGCAATTGTACCTTTGCGTGCAGTACATACATAGAGCACTAATCTGCAGGCGCCCGTGAGGTGATGTCAGCTCAGAACCCGAAGTTTTTGAGATCTGGGCTTTCGCGGAAACGGCATCACAGTGAAGCCTTCCTTCTGCATCAATATTTTGCCGGCGCGCATGTGTGTCCCAATGGCAGGAAACGAGGAAAACGGCGCGTGCAAGAATCTGGTACAGTGCGGTGGGCACGGATGCATACGGTATGCAGCATACGCCGACGAAGAGAACGGTGACATGCAACATGGCGACGGCTGCAGATTTGGGTTCCCCTGCGTACGGGCCCACTTGTCGCGATTCCCAGCACAGCCGGGTGATGACACTCTGACATCAGGGAAAGAACTCGGCATGATGCGGTTGCCGACAATTGCTGGGTGCTGAGATTTGCACTGCACAGCAATGCCACGGCCGCAACGTCCCGATGGGATGAAAGCGGCTCAGTTAGCTGGAAACGGTCAGCGGGAATATTTTGGTGGTCTCTGAGATAGGTTGTCACATGTGCAGATGAGAGCAACATGACATAACATGACAGTGACAGCGTCTCGCTCCACGCATATGAAAACTCACGCTCCAGTCCGGACAGCGCAATTTAACACGCAGGCGGGCATACAGCAGCTGAATTTGTGCGAGCGCACCGGCGGGGTTGGGATGCAAGTTACAGAGGGAGACCTTTACGGGCCCGCGGAAGGACCCTCTCTGCGCGAGCGCCGATCTTTGCGCGGGCGCGGTTTGAGGCATGTACAATATTCCGTGCCTTTTCCTTGCTGTACTCTGTGCAGTAAGTTTTTGGAGTCGGGTCTTTCCCATCTTCTTTTTGGCAGCGATGGTTAATCCTTGGGGCCGTACCATTGGGAAAACACTGTACATGTGCCATTAGCGTTCTCTCGACATAGCGGCTGCCAGATATTTGACATCTTGAGATTCAGTGTTGCATCATAACGCAGAAGGATATCCAGGACGCAAAAATTGATGATTGACGGACATGTCTGATGAGCCACGCCGTTGGATTCATTTTTATATATGACTTGGCAATGGTTGTGATGGTAAAAGGGATTCCCTTGGATGTTTTAAAAAGCGTATCCAGACAACTGGCATGCACCATATCTCTGGCAATCGGGAAGATTTATTCTAAATCTCTCCGGTTGTGAGATATATGGTGATACCCATTCCGTTGGCCTCTCCCGTGGTGACGCGCCCAACATTTTAGTGGCAAGCGTATCATCCCTCTTTGAATAGATATCTTTCTCGTTCATGCGACATATTCAACGTCGTGGATAACTATCGAGACAGGAACAAGAATCAACGAGCGGAAACTCACAAAAAGATCCTGCTGCACATCAAGCAGAATACAGTATTATAGATCCGGCCTTCAAGTTCTCCATCGCATCGCTTTTATGTCAGGGTAGCATCCAGATATAGCATTGGTGCATGTCCAGCGAGAGGTTGTAGCTGCGAATCAAAACACCAAACGGAAACAGATTCAGATTCAGAGTTACCACGTACGGTTCCTCACCTCTTGGCGGCTATTCGCTAATTCTTGAAGCTGCGCTGTTGATGATAACGTAGCCATCTGAAATCATTGTATTATCTCAACGTCATGCAACAATGCGGCAATTATTTTACATATTGTGTCATATGCATGTCGCGACATTAGACATCTTTCTTTGCATGGAACTGCGTACAGTATGCCGTTGAGGCTGAATCTCTGGCAGGAGCTATACTGTACATGTCCATGGTCGGACATAGGGCATAGACATATGAGTTTGTGAGGGTGAGCAAAGCAAGAAGGACGTACCGTACTAACATCTGAAAGATGAAGAGGCTGCACTCGGACAGAATGTCACAAGCGTAGTGCTGGTCGCTCTCTCAAGCGATACTGCCCGTACAGCTTTCAGTTACAGCCAACTGATGCCTCGCGATTAGTACAAAGTTTTCAATGAATGAGAGAATTCGCCTTTCTGGAAAATGATATGCACTCTCGTATTTTGCCTTGCACTGCGATCCTTTTCATCGCATAATCGATGACACACGCGCGATGGGCTTATGTTAAGAGGCGAATTCAAGCAATGCTTCATACAGTGGACCCCTGTCTTTTGTCTCCCCGCCTATGGAGCATAAAGCATCCCAATTACATGACGCTAACATGCTTCAAATGTGCTTCTGCAAGACTTCCAACTCTGGAAATCTTGCGATTGCGTTGGAGACGGTTGTCAAAACGTCGTATCAAGTTGTTTCCACCGAACGAAAAGGAACACTACAATATAAGCTTTGGTCTACGTTGCTATGTGTACTTTGCTCATCCACTTTTAACGCTTCGATTTTCAAGAAGTTGATCCAACAAACTGCCTGTCTGACATCACGGCTGGTAATCTCTTTCCTGAATAAATGCCGAGTGAACAGAGGCGGTTTCACTATTTTCACTGCTGTTCCGTGTAGAAATTACGCACACGGTCCCCACTCGTCCCGCTATTCTTCTTTTTATGCTGACTAATATGATTCGATTGATGCCACCAACTAGTAAAGCATTACTCGGGAAGGTGTCTTCTTCCACATGGAAAGATATGAAGCAGAATCAGGACCTATCGAGACTCAAGAACCCGATGGATTCCGCCTCCTTCATACCTCCAATCTTACATGTTACGGCTAGCATACCACATTCTCGCTCTTCATTCCCGTGAGCTGCATAAGTGGATCCCTCAGGGATCCATGGTACGAACGTCGGCCAGACCTAGAAAGCAACATCTATCGAAGGAGAGGCAAGTATTCGTCGTTGTACTGTACATCACTACCCACGCTTCTATACACCATCCTTAAAGAGCATCTTTAACTTGAACGCCGCTCCATTCTTGGCGATCCTGTGGGTTTGGAGAGTGCCGTCGTACTCGCACCTGTGCCTTGATGGAAGAAGAATACAGATATGCGATGGGCCAAAAGCCAGGCCTTCTTGCCGACTGGAAACCCAACGCTGCACAATTGCGATACTTCACCTCTGCAATCCTGTATATATAAGCACCTCTCCCCATACCAGAGATCTCCTCGTCTCCATCGTTCACACAACTTCGCATCCACGCTCACCACGGAAGAGCCACCACCTATCCAATTTCGCAACCGAACACCGACTGCCTACCACCTACAATGATCAAGCCAACGCTCTTCCTCGCCGTTCTGGGCCTCATCGTCGCCTCTGTCTTCGCCGCAGACACCCCAACTGCGGCACGTGCGGTACCGTACTACCCACCTCACCGCCCGAGATGCCCCTGCCGTTGCATCCTGGGATACTACGCTGAACAGACGGCTACCCGGATGTGCAAGCGTCGCCGGTTCCTGTACAGCTGCTCGGTGCAGGACTGCACCAAGCACTACCGCCCCGGAAAGACTTGCTGTGATGTTCACAAGCCATCAGTTACGCCCACGCCTACCCCATCAGTTACGCCCACTCCTTCGCCCAAACCGAAGTGCCCTTGCGTCTGCACGCGCAGGGGAGCTGCCCGCCGCGATTGCCACTACAAGCCGTACTGCGAGGTCACACGGTGCCCGGAGGATCACAGTAATGATCACCATACCAACCCCTATGGCCAGTACTACAAGCCGAGGCCGAAGTTCCAATGCTGCTACAAGCCGCACTATTAAGCCATGAGGGGTCCATGTCTCGCGTTGGGGGTCGACTGCTGGTAAGAAGTGAGAGAATGAGTGTAGCTCAGTTGTGGCCTCCTCAGTCAAACGGCACAAGGTCGTTCTGGACACATATACTATGTCCCATGTTGTTTGTAGTTCAGTTCCATCTTACTGCTTGTAAACTGGGAAGTTTATGATTTTGTTTAGAGCAAAGAATGTATTGAGCAGGTGTATAGGATGTCACACACATAGCCCAATACGCAGCGCCGTCAGTCCTTGCCTCATCGGCTGGTGGCGCCAAGCTTCCTCCTTGGCTTGCAGTTGTACGAGGAAGTGTGTCTGTTTGATAGCATGTGGAATTCGAGTAGCTCTTAAAGTAAACCTCATGTGCCCTTCGAGGAACACCCAAAGCCGCTCATGCCGCTCACTCCTGCGCTTAGTCCATTCGCACAGACTTGTCAAAGGGCAGCAACTGGACTTTTTCCGTATATGCCTTCGGACTGTTGGCGTGGAAATGAGTGTTTGCATTGTAGCATGTTGGGAGGGACAGAAGGGTAAACTCTGTTATAATCAACAAGCTTTAGTTGAACGTGTTCTCTCTCTCTTCTCTGTTTTTTCATTGTCCTTCCTTCCCCTTTTGTGTCTACTTCTAAATGTCGATGGCTTATATAGACTTTTTGTCGGTACGCTACAGCATGGCAAACTATTCCTCAGTTTCTCCTTAGACCTTTCCAGACGTCCCCAACGTTGTATGTTGGCGTTATGGAACTCGCGATTGAAGGGAGGCGTGCTTGGCGGTCTAGAGTATTCCAGGGCATTGCATCTAGAGTTCTAAAGGTATGCCCTCTTTTCTTATCTGCCCAATCTCCGCATTTGCCATCGTGGCATTTGTCACAGGTATTAATTTTTAGGAATATTTTCTAGACTTTCCCAGTCACTGCTGGATTCGGATGACACATCCAACATGCACTGAATTTAAAAGGATGGCATAGAACTCCAATATAATTTCTATGCCATACCTAAAAGAATTGTCAAAGGCGGAGTACAGTATCCACTAGTATTAAAGAGGATGGTATGGGAGATTGAAGGCAAAGACATAAGTAATTGTATGGAGATTAGTTATAGAGTGAAAGGATAGTTTATTGTAGTCTAGCACGTACTGTATTGTTCTAAGTTTCAGATACGATTTCTATAAAAGGCGCGGATTACGGACGGGGAAACTGTGGTACTGTGACACAGTACCTTGTGGGAAGTGTTAGCTGTCCCTCTCTTGCATTTGACATTATTTGATGCACCATGATGGTGCATGCATTCTAGAAGAGAGGAACTGTCTAACGATTCGTGTGGTTTTCCGGTAGTCAAATCCCTACATAAAGCCTCAAAGACCTGAGGTTCAAAATAATAAAGAGGCATCGATCCCAAGACCTCCACGAATTGTGGCGTGCTGGCAATAAAACCAAAAGGGGGCAGGCACAACCACTCACTAACCCTGAGAGCCACATAACCTGCAACCCCAAGTGTGTCCAACTTAAGAACCGCTTTGCAAAAACTATTCAACACAAGTAACTCACTCTGTTCATTTTATTAACCCTGCGCATCGCTAAAGTATCCTTGAAAACATCTCGTCAAGCCGGGCTTCTTCTCCCGAGAGTTTTACCGCGTCCCTTCATATTCCTGGCCAACCCTATCCCTTTCGCAACACAAACAGATGCTGCCGGCTATGGATCCCATATTTCATAGAAAGCATCCTTGTCCTGGATTGCATATTTCATTACTTCGTCAACTGCCGTGAGCCGTCAACGAACATGCAAATTTGATGTTTTTCGCAAAACTTGCCGGACAAGTAAAACCAGCCTGTACTGAGAAATCTCGGGACATGCAATCAAGAGGCAATCCCCAGGCATGTACCCTTTTTGAAAAGATCACAAAATCATAATTCATGCAATAGCATAGTTCTTCAACATGTACTCCAGCTAAAACGTTCTTGCAAGCTACTTTCCAAAAAATGGACACCGACCGTTTCATTCAAACCCCATCTTTGCTGCTACTATGACTACTTCCAATGCCTCGTCAATCTTTGCAGTTACCGCAAAACATCCTGCCGGGCGGCCTTTTCTTCTGCTGTCACACAGATGCAGTTTCGTTATCGGCCACGGTAAGTTTGCAGTTCTCACCTGCCCTGTCAGACCGCACAGGACAGTCTGTCCCGCAAATGACAGACTTATTACCAGCGAGCGACGACGAGTAAACGAGGAGTCATCAGTCTCTTGTTCACACAGGTTATGGGCACCTTCCGCTACCTTGCATAACACCACCTTCCCGTCATCGGAAATCAGCGACACAACCCACACCGACACGAACAAAACGATCCCTTTCACTGCGGAGGAGCCCCAGGCTAAACCCCACTCCACTCTTACATACCCGCACAATCTCATCCAACACCAACAACCAATACGACAAACCTCACGACAAATCACCAGACAAAAGACACAACACATCCAACGCCGACAACCAATACGACAAACCTCACGACAAATCACATGACAAACAACACAACACATCACACAACACACCAAACGACAAACGCCAAAACAAAAAGACAAGACATCAACACAAACCAAGACATACTCAACATGGACAAACGACCTGACATTCCACGCCTAGATTCCATGAACTACGGACCGTGGATCATCGCTACACGAGCAGCAGCACACACTATCAACTCCATCCAACACATACTAAGCAACCCCAACCCCCCACAAGATGACACAGACCTTGCCACATTCCAAAGAAACAAAAACTACCTACTCGGCAAGTTAATCACATCAATTCCCCCCAGATCGCCAACCTAATCCTCACCCCCACCAGCGACCCAACCCCGTACGAACTGATCCAGGCTGTCACGTCCCACGTGGACACGACCACCGCCTCAGACCACAAATATCTGAAGCAGCTCGCTGAACAAGCGCAATATCTCCCTGATATGACCCTGGAGCAGTACATCTCTGCCCACGAACAAATCCGGACGAGAATGATCGCAGCACGGTACCCAGAGATCTTAAACCCCAAAACTGTAGCATAAACACCCCCAGACGAACGAGCGTGTATGCGTAGTTCGACCTGTAGACCCCGTTCGAACGGGAAGACGGGTGAAGCACCAGCTAACGAGGCAGGGAAGCGGGCCCTGGTGGCGGTGTGGTAGAGCGGGAAGGTCGGGGACGAGCGTACGCACGGGCCGATCTACGCCTCGACGCCCCGGAGCAGCGCTGGGTAACGTACCAGCGCTGACGGGCGGAGGCGGATCTAGGCTCGCTTGCGCACGCGTGTGTCCCCTACCCGGTCCCTTCCTCCTAACGCACGCGAAGGCGATGGCGCGTAGTTACAATAAGCTGGGTGGACTGAACTTGGAGGTCGGTTGAGAACAAGTCCGTGCTTGTCGCCCCCGTCCGCCGTCGGTCCGCTCCTGTATTTAATGTTACAAAACCGTCTATCATCACGGAGTACAGTACGTACTGTGCTCGACGGCGCTACAGTAGTGCGCACCGTCAGCCAGTGGGCTGCTGGTACACGCGTCATACACGTGTAGTACACGTGGAGTACACGTGCGCTCGTGGCCTGTAAGGCTCGTGCCTTACAGCGCTGGATCCAATTTCTAATCTAATTACTTCGTCGATATACTACAAAAACCACTGTCGATTTCCTCATCGACGGGCTGCGATTCAACCCGTCCACCGCCACCATAGGAATCCATCTCAGAGCTCTAGATACTAAGGACACAAAAGACTTCGTACACAAGTTCAACCGTTTGACCATGTACAGGCAACCGACGCAATTTCAACCGTATGACATGAACGACGACGCAGGAGCCTCAAATTCAATCAGAAATTCAGCACCGGCCCCACAATGGTACAACCGCACCCCACGCCGGAACCTCCACGTCCCAAAACATCCATGCCGCTTCCACATGTCCCTCGGCGTCTCCCGACCCAGACACACGGACCTCGAACGCGACCACGCAGCACACCCCCGTCACAGTACATGCCAGCCGCCACGATCAAAGCCATACCACACAGCACGTGCCGCTCACGGTCACTTTGACTACAACAGCGACACCGAAACGGCAATGGACGACACGGCAAGCCAAGCCCCCTTCCACGACAACTGTACGTACATCCTCGATTTGGGCGCTCACCCGTCCCATATCAAAAACCTCTCTGCTATATACCAACCAAGGCCGATCTGCCCCAAAACAAAAACAGCCACCAACCACATCGTGCAATTCACTCACGCTGGGCAGACGACGATCAAGACGATTAAGGGACACATGCTCAAGGTTTCAGCCGTCGTTTCCCCGGACATGACAAGCAGCCTCCAAGCCAGAGGAGCGCGCACGATCCTCGCACCGCGACGCAATCCGAAACCACACACTCCACAGCCAACCCCCGCCAACTAACCTCAGCCAACCCACCCCTCATCACAAGTCGAGCACTACGCCCCATTACCACACAACAGATACCAAATACACCTTTACCCATACGCTCAACGCCAGCACCACACATCCTACCGATCCCTTGTAAGGCCACTGACCAAATCTTACACCACTGGCACCTGCGACTGAACCACGCATCCTTACGTACAATCCAAACTATCGCCAAATCGCGAACGATACACGGCCTTCCAGCATCCCTCGCCTCAACACGCCGCCCACTGTCATGCTCTGAATGCGCGCACGCAAAGCAGCGACCGGCACGCCATGCCCCCACTCAACATCACTACAGTACAGGTGAATACCTAAGCTCCGATACATGCGGCCTCATCCATCCTCGATCCAACCACTGCAATCACCACTTCCTCTCGTACATTGACGCGGCATCCCGGTACGTCATGCTTTATTTTCTGAGAACGAGAAGCGAAGTCAGCACCATCATGCCACAATTTTTCGCCATAATGAAACAACGCAACCGTCTCCCGAGTTTCTACCGCGCCAATAACGCACGCGAATTCAAGTCCAACCACTCATTCCAGACAGATGCCTCATTAGGCATCAAGTACGAGAATAACACCCCGCACCAACCCCAGGAAAATTCTATCTCAGAGAGAATTAATCAAACTCTCATGAACGCCGCCAGAGCCAACCTCCATCACGCCATCCTCCCTGACGCGTATTGGGAAGACGCAGTACGCGACGCAGCGTACAAATAAAACATCATCCCCACCGGGCAACCGGGAAAGCACCCCACACTCTGTGGCCACACGACAAGCGCAACCCAAACAACTTTTAATCTTCGGACAACTGGGCACGATCCCCATCTACGGTACCAAAAAGAAACTTGACACACGCAGCCGTACAGTACGATATATGTACTCCAACAGCCCCCAATCGATCACAGTGCAAGACACGCACACTCACAAGTACCACATCACTCGCACGCAGGACTTTCATCCTTACACAAAAGCACACGACCCCGCCGTCACCACTACAGCAGTCCTCCGCACCTCACCAGCTACACCAATCCCACTCACCACACCCGACCCAAGCACCAGATAGGAAGCTAGAACTTACCCAGACGCGGCCCAATGGGTACAAGCACACGACGCAGAACTGGATAAATTAGACAACACCGAAACCATCCAATGGCTAGCAGTCACACAGCTCCCCAAGCATACAAAGTTGATACCCCTCACAATGACGTTTCGATACATTCGAGACCACACCAGCACCGTCACCGCCCGAAAAGCGCGATGGGCAGCCAGAGGCGACCGCATGACCCCAGGCACGCACTATGATCCAGAGCAAGTAACGACCTATATGGCAGACAAGACCACAGTACGCCTACTGCTCGCCATCACCGCCTCACACAACTGGTCCCTCGAGCACATGGACATCCGCTCAGCATACCTCCACGAAAAATTCCCCCAAACAAAACCAGTGTATATCAAGCAACACCCCCGCTTTGACGGGACTCTTAAACATCCAGGCAAAGCGGGACTCCTCATGCGCAATATATGTAGTACACCGCAGCCAGCACGAATTTATCACAACGGCCTGTCCAAACATCTGACCTCACACGGATACAAACCTACTCAGGCAGACCCCTGCCTTTTCTACAAAAAATCCGAACAAGGTCTCATCCTAGTGGCCATTAACATGGATGACTTCCTCTCAGTGGCATCCTCCCAAACGCTGCAAGACGAGATCCACGCCGTCCTCACAGCCAAGTACAAAATCAACCGCCTTGGCTTTCCAGCAAAGTACCTCAAATGGCACGTACAACGCCTCGCCAACTTCGCTATATACATATCCCAACCAAACGTTGCTCGAACTATACTCACCATAAAGGGCATGCTCTCCTCCAACGCAAAGCGCACACCGCTACCGCCCAAAGCTTTCACATACACAAAAGAGGAACCACGCCTGGACCAACAGCAATCATTCCTCTTTAGATAGACAATCGGCGATCTCCGCTACTTAGCAGACAGCACAAGACCCGATACACACCCCACTGTCAGCATTCTCGCATTCGTCATGCACAAACCGGCGCGCACGCACAAAAACCACCTCCACTGGCTCCTTCGTTACCTAAGCAGCACAAAACACGACGGAATCCTGTTCAAGGCAAGCACACCGAACGCCCGTCCCAGCCTCCGCACATACAGCGACTCAGACTCCGCCAATGACCACGCACTCTGCTCCAAAACAGAAGTTGTCCACATGTTCCACGACGCCCCCATAAGATGGACATCGGCACGGCAATCCGTAGTCGCGGACTCCACGTGTGAAGCCGAATACGTGGTAGCGACGGCGGCAACACAACAAGCACATTGGATTCACCGCCTCCTTGTCGATGCGCACACACCGGAAACCCAACCGACCCTCTTTACGTATACAACAAGGCCGCGATCCTCGTCGTCCAAAACTCGGCCCCAACCAAACGCCGAAAATTCATTGACATCAAACACCACCTCATACAGAACCACATACAAAGAGGAACGGTCAAGATTCACCACATACCATCCGAGGAGAACGTAGCCGACTACTTCACAAAACCCCTCGGACCCCAACGCACAAAAAACCTTCTCAACAAACTCAGCTTCGTCGACCCAAAACCCGTATTAGCGAACCCGGGGACTGTCAGACCGCACAATCACATGCGCCAATAGTCATTTTGTAGTTTCAGACCGCATAGGACAGTCTGTACCGAAGGGAACAGACTTATAACCAACGAGCGACGACGAATAAACGAGAAGTCATCGGTCTCTTGTTCACACATGCCCCGCAGTACGAACAAGAATTTAATGAACAGAGCTATTCCATGTTGAGATCCACGTCCGAAAACTGTGAAAAGCATGAATGTAAGATGCTTTCGTCTTTGCTGGCGATGATGGCTGCGGGGCGGCGGTTTTTTATACTGCTCATCATGAAATTCAAGATCTCTCCGAGGAGAAACTCATTCTCCAAGTTGTACACACTACAATAAAACCTGTTCAGTCATAGAACATAGCTTCACTGCATGCCATCAAAACCTTGATCTTGGTGTTCTCAAGAAAATCTACGAAGCAAGATTGGGAACAGCTGTTGGGCCTGCGTTTTCCCCTCAACAATAGCGAAATCACCAACCCTCGTATCTGTATAAACCGCTTGAGTCAGCTTAACCTTCTGAGTTCCCATCACCCACAGCCCATCACCAACAGGAAGAAATTTCACACCACTCATCCAAACAATCATGAAGTTCATCCTTTTCTTGGCCATTGTCGGCCTCGCCCTCACCTCTGTCTTCGCTGAGGACATTCCCACTGAAGCCCGCAGCCGCAGCTATCGTCCCTGCCCATGCAAATGCCTCGTTGGGCGTGGTGCCAGACGTGCCATCCGTGCTTGCCGCAGCTACCGGTTCCGGTTCCACTGCGAGGTGAGCACCTGCTACTACCACGGTAAACCTGGTACGCAGTGCTGTGACAAGGATGAGCCGAGACCGTCCGCGTCTCCATCCAGCACCCCGTCGGCGACTCCGTCCCCGTCCCCGTCAAAGAGCCCCGAACCACCCAAGTGTCCGTGCACTTGCGGCTCCAAGAGGGACGCTAGGCGTGAGTGCCCCTACAAGCCGTACTGTCAGATCATGAAGTGCCCGCCGCCCGAGGTCCACCACCCGGTCCCCCACCACTACAACAAGCCGAAGCCTGAGTTCAAGTGCTGCTACAAATCGCATGTCGCCCCTGTCCACTAAGTGTTGTAGTGGAACTGTTCGATCAGATTCAGAACTGTCAGGAGCGGGCAATTAGGTTGTTTGGATAGGCTGTATCAGTTAGATGCGACCTTTTCCCCATCTTTCAATAAAGAGCCAGTCCCTTTGAATCGTAAGCTTCGATCGTATGTCTACACGACTTACTGACTCTAACAGTGCTGCGGGTGGAGTTCGTGAGTTAGGGGAGGGTCTCTTTCCCGACTTAAAGATGGACGTACTTCCGCTGCGCAGCGCCCAACTCGCAACAGTGTTCTGGAACATATTGCTTCCAGTGTGCGCTTGGCGCGAGTTCTTCGACAACTACTCATCAGGGACACGAATGCATCGCAGCTAGTATGCCCTATTTATACATTACAAGTTTAAAACCAAGGTGCAGGATACACAAAGGAAGCAATTGTACCTTTGCGTGCAGTACATACATAGAGCACTAATCTGCAGGCGCCCGTAAGGTGACGTCAGCTCAGAACCCGAAGTTTTTGAGATCTGGGCTTTCGCGGAAACGGCGTCATGGTAAGGCCTCCCTTCCCTGCATCTATATTTTGCCGGCGCTCATGTGTGTTGCACTGGCAGGAAACGAGGAAAACGGCGTGTGCAAGAATCTGGTACTGTGCGGTGGGCACGGATGCATACCGTATGCAGCATACGCCGACGAAGAGAACGGTGAAATGTAACATGGCGACGGCTGCAGAGTTTATCTTCCAAAACTTGAGATGAAATCAAAGAATGTATACATTTTGCCAGTTCGAAAGATGTTAGTATATCGAAAATATAGAAACTTCGGGTGTTCCTGAAAATAAAGAATTAATACGAACAATTTGAAGGTCCGCAAGCAGATGAACAAAGCACCACGACAATTTCCTGAACGGTTTTGCGTCTACTCCTGCAATTGCACGGTGCGTGTTCTCATTGGTGTACAACTTTCAGAAAAAGCAGTGACCACAGAAGGTGAGCGAAGCGAGACGAGATTGGGCGACGATGGCTGGGAAGGTCCCAAAGCATAGCACAAATATTAGGGGCTACGCCAAATAATGCCCAGCTCCCCTTGCATTCGGGCAGGGTGCTGATACAGGGGCAATTATTCGCCGTGTTGCCCCCAGTTTGGGCGAAGCGTGTTGCGGCAATTGGGAGTGGTCTCGGTATCGTTCGTCCTGCATAGACGGAGATCGTCTGCAAGAATTTCGGGAACTCTTCAAAATCACTAGTGTCTTTTTGTTGAAAGTGGCACCAGTATCAACCTTGATCCGCCACAGGGTTGGTACTGTAGTGCCCCAATGACCGAATTTATGTGTTCAAAAATCGGACCCAAAATTGGAATCGTTGAAAACGCTCTCGAAATCAAGGTCCCAGACATTTGAGCGTCCACGCCCGCGCATGCATTTGCGCCCACGCCGGATCCCTACAAAGCTAACATCTCCAATACCCGATAGCGGGTTAGTCCCCTCATGGCCATACGGATGCCATTAGTGCAATACGGCAAAGATAAGGCTAATTGCGAATGCTGTAGTTACATAGCACCTATTGTAGAGCTACGATAGAGCCGTGTACTTAAGCGGACAGCTCCGGGCAACTGCAGCGTCTGTGCCACAGATCAACAAAGGTAAATTGCAACAACCACTACCACACGGAAAATTATCACTTTTCGAGCATCTCCAGAGCATTTGCCCGTACCACTCTGCCCGAGGCATGCTCTTGAAAGGTGCCAAAATACATTTGAGAACAAATTTATGCGTCCCGGGCAGCGTACCTAACATCGTTTTGTAAGCTTCGCTTTACCCCATTTTTATACGGCGAAAGTTTTGTCCCCTTATGGCATAGAGCTCCCCGCCACTTTTATCAAACAGACCCCAGAACACATTTGCCCGCAGAAGCCTCATATGTCAGAAAATAAATCAGACTTGACGAGTAGAAGTAGTTCAAGGAGCAAACGTTTTGCATTTTAGCGAAAGGTACCCCTCTTTAGGAATAATTTTCGTTCTATATACTGGAGCATTTCCAAAAAGCTTCTGTGCTCCTCAGCGACATGCGTGGAGGAACTAACTTATCCCAGTGCCCCTTATCCAGGAGGGTCTCACTGCTCTCGTCACACTGGACAGCAAAGCACGGGACCTCATCGTCGACCGGTTCGGTATATCTGCCATCGGTTCATACGGGAGAGACGCCGTCGACGAGCTGCTGTGTCACGTCCGAGCGGTATTGTACTTCGTATTCGTACTCCGCTAAGCGCAGGCGCCAATGTGCGAGCCGACCAGAATTGCCGCTAAATGGAGAACCCAGCATAGGGCCTCGTGATCCGTGGCGAGCTTGAAGGCTCTCTCGCATAGGTACGGCCATAGCGTGAGTATGCTCCACACTACGGCCAAGCATTCATTTTCGGTAGTCGTATAATTGCGCTCCACATCGGGTAACGTGCGGCTCTAATATTCGATCGGTCGAGTACCTCCTTCGGGTTGCTCCTGTAGAAGGGCGCAACCCACTTGGTGTCCGCACGCGTCGGTGTCCAACGTGTACTAAACTCCGTAACGGGGCAGTGTGAAGATTGGCGGCGACACGAGGCGTTGCTTCAATTCCTCAAACGCCGCGTATTCCGTATTGGTAAATGTCTCGAATTCGTGGGGCTCATTCTCGCCGGTCTTCTTGTTCAGCAGCGCGGCAATCTTCGTGAATCCTTAAACGAACCGTCCGTACACGTTGCACATCCCAAGAAAGTATCGCAGCTTTGTTTGGTTCGTATGTGCGCGCGCTCGATCGGGATGACGTTGCGACGCTCCTCCTCCAATCGTCCCGGACGTATCACGTGTCGGAGATAGGTTACGGAGGTGTCTAAAATCCCGCGTTTCGACAATTTTAGCGACACGCCCGCATTATGTAGCAGCCGTACTACCTCGCGAACGTGCGTTATATGTTCCGAAACGGATCGCGAGTAGAAAATGATGTCATTGAAGTAGACCATCGCGGTGATCCATTTCACGAGGGATAGGATGATATCAACCGCTCGTTGAAATGTCGCGGGCGCATTCTTGAGACGGAACGGCTTACGTAGAAAGCGGTGGAGTCCAGAGTGCGACGCGAGCATGGATTAATCGCCATCCTCCTTGGCGATCTCCACCGGCCAATACCCGGTATTACATTCAAGCGTGGTAAGACAGTGACATCGCCTCGCTAGTCGATACATTCGTCCATGCGCAGTAGAGGGTAGGAATCGCAAACCGTACCGGCATTCAGCTTGCGATAATCACCGCAGAACCACATGGTCCCGTCCTTTTTTGGGACGAAGACCACCGGGCTCGCCTATTCGGCCGATGTCCGTTCGATGATTCTCGCGCGCAGCATGCAGTCGATCTCCTTCTTCTCCCTCTCGCGCGCGATCTGTCCGGCTCGGTAGGGCGCTTAGTAGATCGCCCTCGCACCGGGCTTCATATCGATGCAATGGTTTGTGGCGTCGATCTTACCTAAGCGGCCGAACCACATGTTCTTGAACCGGGACAGCATGTCCATAATTTCTGCCCGAACGGTACTGTCTTCTGCGCCAATGTGTATGTCCTCTTCCCACGAGCGCATCTTCTGCGCGTCCGTATCTGTCCGCTCATCCGCTTGAGCGAAGTTGCCACTGTGGGCGTCGTCCGTATCCGGTTCGTCGCGTCGCGCGTGTCCTTCCCTAACGATCGAAGATTTAATCTTATAATACAATAAGTAGTAGTAAGTGTTTTATAGTTGCTTGAACAAACAATTATAAAGTTTTAATACAATAAGTATAGTTAAGTATAGTATAATACAATAAGTATAGTTAAGTATAGTATAATACAATAAGTATAGTTAAGTATAGCATAATACAATAAGTAGTAGTAAGTGTTTTATAGTTGCTTGAACAAACAATTATAAAGTTTTAATACAATTATATCTAAGAAGAATGGGATTCGAACCCACGACGTACGAAAGTTTTTTGCACGTGACGATTTAGCAAACCGTTGTTTTAAACCACTCAACCATCTTCTTCCTTCTAGGTAAACGTTTTTTTAAACGGGTCTATTTTTCGTACAGGAGTTGCGACTCCTGTACGAAAAATACTTATTGTATTATACTATACTTAACTATACTTATTGTATTATACTATACTTAACTATACTTATTGTATTATATTCAATTTAATTCTTCCTTCAAATCTTCGCCTCTCGCAGCTCCCTACGTAGCGGTCGCGGATTCTCTTCTGCCATCTTCTGAGAGGGTTCTTCACGTCGGGCGCATTCCTTTGTAGTTGAGTAATTTCATCCGCCTTCGTCCATAGCGGTTCCTCCGCGTGACTTGCGTTCCTCCGTAGCGGTCGAGGAATTAATTTTGTTCCCTTCTCGTTCCTTAGTGTTGGCCTCTCACGGAGTCGACGCCCCAAGTGTCAACATGTTTGTGGGGGAAGGCAACGCCAGACCGACAAAGGTATCCTCGGGAACGTGGACCGCGCGGTGTCCGAAGTACTGACCAGTACCGTAAACTGCTCGCCCGGGAAGAGGTCCATGACACCCTGAGCCATTAGGCATAAATTCGTATGCGCTGTTTTGGGGTGGGTTTGCAGGAAGCGAAGCCCCCCATCGGTGTTGCAACGGGGACCATCGCTTGGGTCATAGGGGTATCGTGACCCCTTTGACCACGCTAATCTTCCGTGAGGGTACGTTCGTAGGGACTGCGTGCGCTTCCTGTCGGCCATAGAAGAAAAAAATGGATTTTTTGAGTGCACCTACAGTGCAATTTGAGATTTTTAGCATGTTTGAGTGCACTGTGAACGCGAATTGTTGCCGCTGTTGGCCACACAACTTCCTATTGGTGGCGCTTGGAGTGCACCCAGAGGGTGGCATGAGTGTATGATAGTCCTGCACTCATACCGCCCTCCGAAAATGCTATGTAACCTGGAGTGCGAGGTGAGTGCACTGTGCATTGCATGCTGCATCGCATTTCGTAGTGCACTGTGCATTGCGTGCTGCATCGCATTTCGT